TGCTTGCTGGCTTGGGAAGTTTAGATTCAGTCTGGCAAGATTCTGTCTTGTGGATGAAAGCTAATAAAAGCTATCGAACTAGACCTGTACTGTCTTGTGGAGTTCTTTGGGCTGAACCTGACACCGGCCCTTTGCTTAAGGAATTTTAGGGAAGAGACTGGAAAGGAGAGGCTGCTACAGAAATGAGAAGTGTTGTGTGGAAGAAGCCAGGACTGCCAACCTGTCATTCAGTGATGAAAAAAAAAAAAAAGGGAGGGGGCTTCTGCCATCCAAAAGAAAGTGTTTGGACCTTCTAGAGCAGGGTTTCTCAACCTTGGTGACTTGAAGATGTGTGGACTTCAACTCCCAGAATTTCTAAACTAAGATTTCGGTGAAAAGGATATATATAAATTCCATAGAATTCTGGTATCACTGACTAAATTTAGAAATATTCAGAACAACCAATCTCTGCTGTTTTTATGAAAGAATCAACAGATTTGGGTGACAGGCAGGTTGTCTGGAAGTGCTCAGTGTGTTCACATCTTATCTCTTTATTTAAGCAAAGTTGTCTGATTTTATGCTGCTATCCAAAAGAGCAGACTGCAGTTTCAATCACAGGGGTCTAATACATGCCATCATCCCAGAATTTCTAAACTAAGATTTCATCATGGCATCATTTGCACTAGACCTAATGATGCATGTGATGTCATTTGTCTACCCTTCCCCCTGAGGACAACCAAAATCACCATCAAGGTGGGTGAGAAATGGATACTGATAAAGCATGCTATTTGGTGAAACTGGAATTCAAATTTATGTTAGTCCTAATATCAAGAGTCTGGAACCCAACCTGTGTTCTGTGACACAGAATAATATAATTGAAAATAAGATTATTTTAAGAAAATATGTTATTAGATTGCAATTCTAAAAGGAGGGAGAAACCCTTTCTGAATACAATAAACACGCACAGAACTGAACTATAAATGTACTATTGTCCTGCTGCTCGGAATATGATGACAGATGGTGGTGATGAGGATGAGAGATTCTGTTGTTTAAGGCACTAAGGATTTGGTACCACCCTTTATTTAACACAATTATTTATATACTTGCAAGGCTGCTTTGCCCTGTATGGAATAAGTAGTTTTAAATATTTATAACTGTACACATTGTTTTTTTTTTTATAAAAGATTTGTAATGCTTTATTTTTTTAAAAAAACCAGACTAAAGCATATTACAATTTTAAGCAATTTTATATACATCTTTTTTTGACATACAGCTTTTTTTCATAATTTGTCTTGCTGCTCATAATCAAGGGGATAGATCAAATCAAACAATTCAACCATTAGTAATGAAGCTAACCTTCTGTTGAATTCACAAAGAACAAATGAGATTGGATTTTATAACTGCTAGCTTCATGTTCCCGTCGTATTTTCTGTACTCTGCCAGTACACACCTTTGGTGTGAAATTAGTGTAGAGCCTTGCAAGTTCTGGTTTCCACATTCCAGTGTCAAGTTAAAGATGAATAATATTAAGATGAGATGGTTAGTTGAATTCCTGAACATGAATGTGGAAGGGAGTGGTTGACCTTGGATGAGGAACTGTATCAACATTCATTGATTACAACCTGTCCTAGTACAAAGCTTTAGCATAAACCTGTAAACCTATGGGAAAAATTGATCCACTTTTCCCAACTACAAAATACCATTCCATGTCAATTTGTATAGATATTTAGCTGGCCCCAAAACATTTTACTGCCTCAGGTAGAACAGCAAATAGCTCCCTCTTTACTGCATAATAGACAAAAAAGATCAAGCTACCAAAAAATGACCCAATTCTCCCTCCCTAGCTATTTACAGAAATGCTTTGAATGCAGCAGCAGCAGCAGCAGCAGCAGCAGCAGCAGCAGCAAAAACAATACAAAAGCAAATTGCTTGTCATTTACTGATTTTTCATGATCCTCACGATCATCCACCTGAGAAAGACCCTTCCCTCTACCTAATAATAAGACTGGCCCTCTTCTGAGATTGCTTTGGTGGATACCATAGCACAGCACAGAGCTTTGAGAAACCTTGTAATGGAGAATAAATGTAGTCCAGTTTGGTCACCCAGTAGCGGCTATAGGGCGAAGACCTCAGTTCCTCAGACTTCCGTTTAGAGGGTGTTGGATGCATTGAACAAAATTTTACTTTGGCCTTCTCTTCAGACTTCAGATTTATTTCACACTTTGGTTTCCAAGGCAGACTGGACAATTGACATGCAACACCATTGCATCATTGATGTTTTTATGTAATTTGCATCCATTTGTGTTATTTGTGCAAATGATATAGATTGACACAAATGATGTAATACATCAGTGACCCAAGTGATGTAAATTACTTCATTTACTTTTTTTTAAAGATTTTTTATCCCCCTTTATTATTTTTATAAATAACTCAAGGCAATGAACATACCTAATACTCCTTTCTCCTCCTATTTTCCCCACAACAACAACTCTGTGAGGTGGGTTGGGCTGAGAGAGAGAGTGACTTAAACTTGGATTTAACAGACATTCAGATTTAACTGCCATCCCTTTTCCCCCAATGATCTCTAGAGGTTTTACTTACTAAGGTAATCTATTCCTTAATAGATTACCTTAGTCTGTACCATATGTTGTTCAGATGGAGATATTGAATACAACTGTTTAAAATGTTTGTATTTCTCCTTAGGATTCAATGTGCATTCATATAATATAAATATACTGTGGGCATTCCCAAGTTTTTATTTTTTCTCTCTTGCATTTGTTTTTATTTTGTCCTTGATTTGGCTTTTTAAAAAAGTTTGTGCCTTCTTGTTTCGGTTGTTCAAAAAAAAAGCAAAGAAGCAAACCAGGACTGGTTCTCTTCTGTGCCATCTTCTGAAAATTATTGCTGGTTTTGCACTCTGTCCACTTGATCTTAACCACAGCATATGCATATATTATTCATCCAAGGGAATTATTTTTCATTTGGACTAGAAGTTTCTTAGGCAAAACTAAAACAAAACCTGCTGATGTTGCATATTATCATAACAGCCTGTTGCAAACATGTTTACAATTGATTATTTAAATAATATCAGTATTATTCTTTCTGAGGGTCATTCCTTAGGTAGCCAATATAATATGGACAAGAAGGAAGGTAGGGAAAGGTACACTGTTTTCAGAAAGCCGGCTGGAACTTGTTTCATAGACATTCCATATTTGCAGCCTGGGATGCGCTGTAATGGTTCAACAATGATTGGTGCAATATTCTAACATTACATGTGAAACCCTACTTGTCCAACTAAGTTTCTGTTGGACATCTTGCGCATTGGTGTGTTGCTGTCAGGGTTCTTACCGTGCTGTTTTAAGATAGATCATTTCATATGGTGTTATGATTTGTACTGTTGCCTTCTGCTCCAGAGTTACAGTACTTGTAATGAAATGGATAAGCCAGCCAGCCAACCAACCAACCAACCAAATAAATGAATAAAGAGCAGACATAAATCAGAACCTAAACCAGTCTGTGATGGGAAAAATGGTTTAGCGATAATCATTTGAATGTCAGCATTTTTCACCCTTACAGATCTTTGGCTGCTGGGTTTGGATCCTTGTAGCAGCTACCACGGTGTATTTCCCTTTGCTGCAAGGATGGGTTATGTATGTCTCGGTCAGCTCCTTTGTCATCTCATTCCTGCTCCTCCTGAGTTACCTGTTTGGCTTCCACAAAAACTTTGAATCCTGGAGAATTCTGGTAAGGTGGGAATAACTCCTGTAGCTTAGAGAGATTTGAGGTGGGCAAAACTTCCAGATCACATGGGGGGCTTATCAGGATGACCTTTGTTTTTACTTCATGGGCAACTGTGCATAAGAATGTACACAGGCTGAAGAATTTCACGTGTCTTTCCTGTTTTTTAACACTGCCCCATATCTACTTCTCTCCTCTTTTAGGATAGCCTTTACCATGGAGCCACTGGCATTTTCTACCTGAGCGCTGCTGTGTTGCAGGCAAACGCAACAATCCGTTCAGAGACAGAAGTGCTACTAGAACACACCCCTCGCTATTATCAGCTCAATGTTGCAGCCACGGTAAGATCCCCACATCACCTGGGCATCCAGCCGCTCGGTTTGGGACCTTCCATTTCAGTCCCTGCTCGTGACATTCCGTTGTTGGAACCAGAGTGAAAATGGCAGAGCAGCCCCTGCTAGGCCCAGCATTGCAGAAAGTCTTCCTGTATCCCTCAGATGCTTCGTCTGTCTCCCCTCATAATGCCGTTTCACCGAAACGCATGCTTCACCGTTCTTTGGGAAGAAGGTAGCAAATCTTATGTCCAGCCACTCTAAGGAAAGCCCTGATGGACACAACTCATAGGTCACAAGCTGGACGTTCTTTGCTCTGAATGGTTGTTTGCATTAAATGCTTATTCTTGGTTAACTTCTGATTTGGTTAAGTTTTGATTATTCATTGAAACAGCCAATTTTAACCTTCCTATGATGGCTTGGTGCCTCACCTAGGATTGTTTTCATTGTGGGAACTGATAAAATGAAAAAAGCATCCTGATTTACTGACTTAAAAATATAACATACTGCAGATGAGACTTCAGTTGGGCCATTTATCAGCAAAGTATTTCTTCTTTTCCTTCTAATCCTAATCCTAATCTTCTTTAATTAATTCTAATCTTCTTCTTCTATTAAACCTAAAGTTTGGTTTGAAAGGATTAGATGGTCTAAGACAAGGTTTAGGTGGAAACTGAAGTTGCCTTTGTGTTAATGTTGGCCATAGCCTAGCCATTATGAGGAGGCATTTGTGAGAATCTCAGGCTCATGAATTTCTTTCTCCATTAGAGCTGTGAGGAATTTGGAAGTTTCCCCCTCGGTTTTTGATTACCTAAATAAAATACCTGCATGTAATGCAGTTCTTGTGTGAATGTAGCATGTTTGTGTGGGTATCAGGATATGCAATCCATTGTGTCTGGCCCTGTGCACAGCTTAATCCTATTTTTATAGTTTCCCAAGCCTTCCAAAATTGGGATATAAAACTGAATTTTCATAGGTTTTTTTTTTTTTTAATAAAGGTTCAAATAAATAGATTCAGCATGTATCTTTGCAGTCAGCCCAAAGAATGATTTTTATTTTTTTTAAGTTGACCTCAGTAACATAAAGGACGCCCAGCTCTAGTTCAAAATCTCTATGAATTTTTAAAAATAAGTGTAGGTAGAAAGTACTAGGATGTGACATGTGAAATTTCTGAAACAAAAAATCAGTTTAATTGGATAAGAGCTGAAGTAACTCTAGATACCCATAGAAATTCAGTGAAAGGTTCATACAGTACAAGATTCAAAAGGCATGCTATTTGTTTTCTAGTGTTCATAGTTCCTGTCAAAATCGGCTGTATTTGTTTTCTGCTAGCTACAGAGGCATCAAGGGAGGGCACTTGACAATAGAAGCCCCATGATGATGCGAGCACCACCCTTTTTCTACTTGTGTTGTGACATCATGCACAAATACAAAGAGGGAGGAATTTGAGTCATGGCAACGTGACCCTAGGTTTATCATTTAGACCAGCCATTCTCAACTGGGGTTCTGTGAGAGATTGTGATTGAAATTCCTGACAGTTTGATACTTTTTAAATGAATAATTGAATATTTAATTCAATTAAATAGTGTCATTTTTCAGGATACTTTCAGCCCTGGCTTTTCTTCCAGGCCTTGGGCTAAGGGAGATGGAGCTCTTTGTGAGTTCTGTTGTTAGCTGGACTCGGCTTCTTATTCTTTATTTTCTTTTTTTTAAACTTGATCTGTGTCTTTTTTTTTAAAGATTGTAACATTGTGCGCCCCCCAGTTGGTGGCACCCAAACTGAGTAAATTAAATTAAATTAAATTAAATTAAATTAAATTACTGTACATTACATTTTTGTAAATGAAATGTAACAAAATTTACTTTGTATAGCCCTGGCTATAACCTTTTGGAATATGGTTCTAGCACATCAAGGGCCAAGCGTGACTCTTATGACTCACATGTGCACAAAGGCCTGTTGTAAAGCAATATTAACTTTCACATAGCACATGGCCTGCTTTATGGGTCAAACATGTCTAACCCTACTTATTTAGCTATTCCCATTGGATTTACAATGAAGAGCACTGTGATGGAAGAAGCCCTCCCTTTCCTTCTACATACAGTTGTAGGTTAAATGAGACATGAAAATACATAGCTAGTGTTGATAAAATATACAGAATTGTCAATTTCTCTATAACCACTCCAATGGATAAGCAAAGTCATTAATTCAGAGCAGGGATAAGGCAATTCTAAGCGTAAGCAATGAAAGGGATCTGTGAGCTGAAGTGCTCCGACTGATTGCAGGAGTTTAACTCAGCAGGAGAACTGAGGGCTGGGGAAGACAGAGCCCTGAGCACCAGAGAAGTGTTGCCAGCATAACATGGTTTCTTCAGCCCATGTGTTCCTCTTGGTTAACGGTGAATCTAATCTGCTTCCCAGGCCAAACCAGGCATACAAAGAAACCGATGGTGCATTAGAAAAGCCTGCTCTTTGACGCCCTGTTTTTTTGGACTACAACTCCCATGTCATTACAAAAATAGAAATTGTAGGCTAACACCTTTAGAGGCCATGAGACTGGAAAGTTATTTTCTAAACTGCTATGTGACAAAACTGGCTTCTACCGTGTTCTCTCAGAAAGTGTATTCATTGAAGGGCTGTGAAGCATTTTGGATTCAAAGGTAAAAAGGTGCTTTGGAGCACGTGGTGGTGGTGGTGGTGCAAACACATCACCTATCCGCAGTTTCTTAAAGTAGCCATGCTTTTCAGTATAAGGAGTTGTAGCCAGGTATTCCGTTTGCACACAACACACTGAAGCAATGCTGGTCTTTGAATCCATAGTGTTACACAGCCCCAATTAATTGACTTCACTGATAGCTTTCTTTTCTAACAAGCAACTCAAGCTGGTTTTCTTCACCTTCATTTTATCCTTACGACAACTCGGCAAGCTGGGTAGCTGAAAGAGAGGCTGGCCCAAGGTTAGCTTCTTGGCTCAGTTTGAAACTGGATTTGAAACTGAATTTAGAACTAGTCCTAGTCTGATATGCTAACCTACTCTGGGAAGCTGAGAGCTTGAAACCACAGATAATAATTATGTCATTTTTTTCCTTTTTCAGTTCTTTGCCTTCATCACTACACTGCTGTATATTTTGCATGCCTTCAGCAACTACTACCATTGAAATGACATGAGTGGGAATTGGAATTCCAGAATAAACAGTTAACATTTAAGAAGATAATTTAGTTGCAACTGAATTCACCCATCAGCTGGCACCATCTCATTTTAGGTGAAAGAGATACTCATTTGTTACAACCTGAATGTTGCTTATTTATACCATGCTACTGAGTTCTGTATGAAAATCTACTCAAACTACTATATTCTGATCCTTGATTTCTCATGCCTGCAATTATGCCAAATCAGGTTTTGTCCTGAAAAGCCTGTATAAATAATGTACATTCATATAAAACGGGGAGAGTTTTGAACCTTGTGTCTTCAGTGAACTATTTCCACATCACCTCTTCTGTGGAGGAATTCCTGTTGGTTTGCTATGGAATCCTGCATGTGGCAGAAGATCCTGGGTTGTATTCTGAGGTGGTCTAGGGGATTCTGGGAATTGAAGTCCACATATCTTAAAGTTGCCAAGGTTGAGAAACACTGGCATATACTGTAATGCTACATGACTCAGAGCGTGCCTTAAAATCCATCATCTCCAATCTCTCGCAGTTCTGAGTCACAGGAAAGGTGGTGTAGTGGTTGGCAACCCAGAAAAGTGTGTCTGTTTTCTAATCGATACAGCTTCCAGAGAATTTCAGGTTCTTCGACAACACTGCTTGAAAACTATTCTCCATTTGGACGCAACAAATTATTCATTTCGGCTACAGCAAATAATCTGTTGCCTCCAAATGGCCTGGGGAACAATTATCAAGATGTCTGGGAAGAGAAATTCACACACATTACAGTAGCTGTGACATAATGATTTTTATCTCATTAACTTTATGTGAAATTTCTATCTTAAGTATGTATGAACCTAAAGTGGCAACAGCTGATGAATACCATCTGTTTACCTTTTGGGATGCGCAAAAAAAGCAAGATTCCTCCTGCGAAACTGAAGAAGACTCATTCCATCCTGATGTTACAAAAATTAAAAAACGCTGTGCAAATTTTACCCCTTTCAGTAATGTTATATGTAAGGGTATTCTGCTCTTTGTTATTACAGTATATAGAATATTTGTTTTGATGTAGAAACATGAAGTAACTTATTGGTAAACCTGTATGTGTTTTTTTAGTTCCATTTTATACTGCTGTTTCAGTTAACTCTCTTTTGCCTCGACAATGAATATAACTGACTTTTCTCCTTCTTTGCCCGGCTCACGTGAGTGTTTAAATTGTTGTTTTATGTGTGAGGGATGCGCCATTGCAAATGCAAAAAAAAGGTATTAACTGGGCACATCACTTTATCATCGATTTTAGGCATCTTTAAATTATTATGGAGGAACTACAGGAGTTGTACATTTGTAAATGTGTGTGACTGTTGGGCATTACAGCTTACATAGACCATAATTTATTTTTCACTTCAACCATCTTTCTCTGGACTCAAGGTAGCAGTATCCATAGGTGCTTCCAGCTTTTGTCAGAAGGATAAAAATGGCACTGTGCCACATGTTGGGGATGGGGCCTGTGTTGCAATGTCAAGATGCTGTTGACTTCAGTCCGAGCTCTCTCGGACCCATGTGCAGATTCCACTGCTTCAAAGACCCTGACGAGTAACGCTAACCCCAATCTCAAGAGTACGTGGCTTCTCCATTTGGTCTGAGTGTGCAAGCAAAGTCTTTATTCCAGTTCAGTTTTCCTCCTTTTCATGGGATCTGTTTATCAAGCACACCAAGATTTATGAGATGAAACATTTATGCCTACCTTATCCTTAAGCTCACTATACTCCTTCTATATCTGCAAATGGAGAAATGCAGGCCCTGAATTTGCTTTTATAGTTTTTTTTTTAAAGGCAATTAAGAGTTAATTTGTGCCTTCAGCTTTTAAGTGCTGTCACATTATTTATTTATTTTGTTGTACCACCAACTGCCTAAGTCTCTCATCATGATAAAAATGTTACAAAATGTTTTCAAATGTGGAAAAGGCTCACCACCCCCAAATTAGAACATATATTTTTAAGTGGCTGAAATTTTACAAAATCAACATATTATAATATTTCACGCACAACATCAAAATCTTGCACAATCATAACACATGCAGTTTAATGTATTCTTGAAGTGAGATTTCAGGCAACTTTCTTTTTGAGAGGAGTGGTTTGCTGATTTCTGAAGTACAGTGATGAATCAAGTTGCAACTGATTACAAAAGACCAGTGTCTTAAGCAATGCTACACTGTAGAAGGGCCTTGTGGCTCACTGTTGGATCTAGATTTGGGGGAATCTTTGGGTAAAGATCCTAGGGGAGCCCACCTCCTTACCGTTGACACCCCTGTCTTTATGCCCTTCCTCTGGGCTCAGACTATGCTATTGTCCCAAGAGATGTCAATCACACAGGTTTGAGCATAATTTGTAGAACATGCACAATCAGTAAGTACCAAGTTCATATACACTCTGCTAGGCCATGCTTTATTTTAATCATAATTTATTAACTAAATCACAATTAGATTGGCTCATACCGCACACTTAGCCCATTTGTATAATCTATATGCATTAGAAGGACTGGATATGTCTCCTTGGGTATGTCTTGTTTTCTGACCAGAAAAATATGGATTACAAAAGGTCTGAAAAGAAATTCACTGTTCCAAAATATTTCTGTAAAACTCCCAGTTGGACAGCAAGTTTTATTTATGTTTTTGTTGGATTTTCTTAAAAGATTTCAAAGAGTCCAAAAACCAGTGCTCATTCAGTCAAGATCCAAATGACCTATAATCCATTTAATTAAACTGGTTTGGTAGCATTTCCCTTATGCATTAAATAGGCAGCATGTAACTACCAGCCTGAATATAAGCAAAATTCATTTTGTTCTTATTTTATCCACATATAATTTGGATGAAGTACATACATTTATGAAAACTTGCACCATTATAATTGGGTATGATTATATTTTCAGGTTTGTCTCCACAAATGACATAGATTCTTGGTTCACAGGTTCCGCTAAACTTTAGTGTATCAAAGTGTGCTGTGCTACATGTACCATACATTTAAGATAGCAAGATCTGAAGCCAGTAGTAAAACAGTTTCACGTTAGATTTTTGTACTAGAAGGCACTGTTGAAGGCATAATATTTTCAAAAAACATTTCTAACCTTTCTTGACACTTTGAGTTGGGTTGAGGATAACTTTACCTCCAATGTCCTTTCAACTGTTTAAGTCTATAAAGAATTATTTGCAACCCATGAGCTTTAAAACCTTTTTATTTCTTCCCAATCCAATGGAAGATTGAAAAGAACTGATCTAAAAGGCATCAGGACTATATCTGTTTGGCCATCAGTATGATAACTCCCTGAAAACTGAACAGAGTAGGACCAACTTTGCTATGTGAGGAGAAGCTGGCAAAAGAAAGAATTCTAAAATGGGTTAGGTAAGGCTGGGGCTGCAGAGAAATACATTCCCAGATGTGAGAGTTCAACCAAGAGTTCTCACTTGAGGCACAAATGACTAGGCTCAAATTATCCTACTATGGACACATTAGGTGAAGACCTAACTCTCTGGAGAAAGCTCTAATGCTGGGAAAGGTGAAAGGAAAGAGGATGACCAAGGTGGATGGACTCCATTACAATAGTGATGAGTGCACCTTTCAAAGAGCTGAAGGACCAGATTAGAGACAGATTGTCATGGAGAAAGTCTGTCTATGTGGTCTCCAAGAGTCAACCTGATGGCACATAATCAAAATGTGAGAGGCAGGTGGATGGTGGCTGACTCATCTATTGTAAGCCTCCTCTGACTTCTCTCTCAGTTGCATGGCCCGGAGTTCAGCTGTCATTAAGGGAATGGAAAGAATTCCAAAAGCCAGGCTCTGCATACAGGCAGTCCTCGCTTAACAACCCTTCGTTTAGTGACTGTTCAAACTTATGACAGCACTGAAAAAAAGTAACTTACGAATGGTCCTCACACTTATAACCATCACAGTGTCCAAGTGGTCATGTGATCATGATTTGAGTGCTTGACAACCATTGCGCATTTACAATGGTCACAGCATCCTGTGGTCATGTGATTGACATTTACTATCTTCCCAGCCGGCTTCCAACAAGTCAATGAGAAAGCTGGTAGGAGGTTGCAAGTTGCAATCATGCGATGTCTTGCTTAATGACTGCAGATGAGTTATTTAATGACTGCAACCAGGACTGCTGGGACTGCTGTCACTAAGCAGGGCAGTCACATGATGTTTTGCTTAATGGCCACTTCACTTAGCGATGGAGTTGCTGGTCCCAATTATGGTCGTTAAGCAAGGACTACCTGTACTTTCTTGACCTTATTGAAAACTAAACATTGGGCCAGTAAGAGAAAATTACTGCCCATTGCCTTGTCTATGAATATAGGTAGTCCTCATTTAGTGACTGCCTCCTACAGTGACTGTTTGCAGTTACAACGGAAAAAGTAACTTTGAGACCAGTCCTCACATTTACAACCTTTGCAGGTCTGTAAAGCAAAGGAAAGCTGAAATAAGATCATAAGCACAGTTGCGGTTTCACTTAGCCACTCTTTGCTTAACGACTAAGTTGCCGGTCCTAATTGTGGTCGCTAAGTGAGGACTACCTGTAGGTATTATGAATATATAAAAGTAGTACAGATGCTACTATTTTTATGTTCATGCACATATGTTGAAAATGTCAAGGATGTCATTACTTAAAAATGGTAAAGGTGCCTTCTAACTGAGTTTGATGCTTGGTGACTTCACATCCACATCCATGTAGTTTTCCTGGTAACAATAAGGAAGTATCACTGCTTTCTTCTGGGATGTTTTTCAACTTCCTAATGTAACCTACAGGGCTGGTAATCCCTGGCAGTCTCCAACCCAAATTTAACCCTGTCTCCCTTTGGTTAGCTGCCAAGACAAGGTCATCTGAGTGCTGTCACTTGCATTGTTTAATTCCTTTGGAAGGGATCTGACATTTTTGCTATAAATTATTTATTTATGGGATATAATTTTAGCACAATGTGTTCAGAGTGTTAATATTCATGTCCCTCATCAGAGACTCATAAAGAGGAGCAAGGAACATGGAAATAATGAAATTAAGAGTTACAGAATTGGAAGAGATCCCAAAGAGCCATTTTCACCAACACAGAAATCCACTTTAGTATTAACTATTATGTAGTTCATAGGGTATTCACACAAAAGAAAAGTGGAGCCTAACTTTAAGCTCAATTAGGCCATATAACCTCGTTCAGGCATTATCAAGTTTATCAAATAATAATTGGTAAAAGTTTTGAAAAATTACAAACCCTTAAAATTTGGCAGAAAATAGTTCCTTATTGAGCATTTTAATAGAGCATGAACTGCGTATTTCTTTATGTATCTTTGCAAAAAAGATCAGCGAACTCTTAAAGAAAAGGAAGCTAAATGTTAGAGAAGAGGGTCTGGTAGCTCTTTGCCCTTGTAGTAGGATTTGGCACTTCGGCAATTGGCAGGAGGCCATGCATAGCCTCGGCCGTGAAGAATATCATCTATTCTTTATATCTTTGTTCTGGTCCAGAAATTGAAATCATCTTGGACACATTTTGTCTAGCTAGGGGGCAACCTTGCTATCTTTGAGAGACCTAGACTACCTGTTTTAATATAGCTATTAATTCAAGATATAGATGAATATGAAACAATTTTATTCTGCCACCATGTAATTGTCTGAGTAGCCACCAGGTGTCTGCAGTGCTCTGCTTGAAGACTACAAAATACATACCCTTCCTTCTCTGCTCCTCCCTCCATCTTGATGCAGTTCTGAAAAAGTCAAACCTCTCCCTCCACCCACCCAGCCCCCTGTAATTTGGAGCTGTTCCTGGATATCTAGCAGGAATGTATCTAGAAATAAGTGGGATTTAAGGGGGTAAGTGGTCTTTGCAAAAAAGCGAGCTTATCTATTTACAGATATCTTTCAATTAACTGTACTGCTTCTTGAGCAGCTGGATAGAAGCTCCTTCGCATACTTTCTTTTACATCTCCAGAAGTAAAAGAGCAAGACACTTTCTAATGAAAATATATACAGAAAATATTGGAATATTCCTGATGGATGATCTGCCATCTTTACTGTTTTAGAGGGCAGGACTGGAATTAATGAGTATAAATTAAAGAATCCTTTGACTCAAGCTTGGAAATTTTCCAGGCAAGATACGGAAGTGATTTCCCATTGTCTTTTTAAAAAATTCTTTTAAACCTCCTAGTCTAGCTTAGAGATTTCTTGAAGGTCTCCCATCTAAGTTCTAACTAAAGTCTGATCCTGGTTATTTTATTCATTTATTTTTTAGATCAAGATAAGCTAGGTCTGCCATCTACTGGGGCGAATTAATGAAATGGTAAAAAGCAGAGTTTAGCTAAACGGGATGGGAATCTTCTAACTGAGAACATGTTATTTGATGGGGGTGTTCCCTTTGCTAGAAGGATTTAAGCACAGGCTGGATAGAGCATTTTGGCAGGTTTTTAGGGACAGGAGAAAAGTGAGTATTTGGGGGAATGTCTTACCAAAAAAGCTGTTTCCCTTTTCATTTACAAATTTCCTGCCATATTAAGTATTGTAGATCTGCCATTCTAGCTCATTTGTTGCTGACTGCAGCTGCACCATGCTTGAAAAAGGTGGAAAACTTTTCAGTGGAAAAAAAGCAGGTGACCACTGCCCCTTGCTTGCAAAACAAGCTCAAATTTCTCCTGCCACTGAAAATG